TTAATCTTATATCAATTCTTGGATTTTATTCTTAATCATTGATTTCTCATAAAATAATAAAATTAAAAATGTTTTTTCAAGGTATTAATACAAAATCTAATAAATGGAATGCTTAATATTAAACTATCCTATTAATAAAGAAAATAACATTTATTTGTGCATTAATTTTACTCTAAGTTATACCAATATGTTAAACTTTATTTATTTCTTTTCAATCTGTTATATTTACTTTATATATTATATTATCTAAACCAATGTATTAGAGTTATGAAAATTTAAAAATTATAATTTTTGAAACTTCAATTTATTTAAATTGTATCTTATTTTTATGTCATAATATGGATTATTTTTATTAATATAGGATATAAATTGGATGGGCTAATATAATTTTATTTAGTGTTAATTTAATAGGTTGTTTAATAGTAGATATTTTATAGTAATTCAAAATATTAAAATCAAAATTATGTAAACCAGTATCAAGAGTAAAAAAGTAAATTAATCCAAATTTATTTGTAAAGTGTTGATTTAGTGTTTATGTAAAAATATTGATTAAATGTTTTAATTATTTATTCATTCAATATAATAGTTAATTATTCATTTTATAATAATATTAGATATATTATTATAAAGAGAAAATATTAATTATATTTATAAAAAAAATATAATACTCATATGATTTTTATCAATTTTATTTTTGTTTTAATTTATTTATTGGTGATAAAAATTATCCAATATATTACATATAAGTATTTTTTAGTTAATCCTTTATAGTTGGTGATTGAGATCGTTAAGATTTATTAATCTCAGGAGGTATATTAATAGGTTTTGGAGACTAAGATCTTTGTTTTTTATCGAAATCAGCTTTGATTCCTGATGGTTTAATATTTTCTAATTCTTCTATAGCTCTTTTTATAGGACTTTTCTCAATATCATAATTCCTTTTATATGTATATCCATAAAAGTATTTTTTATTTTCATTAATATTTTTATTTTTATCTTAATCAATATCTTTTTCATTTTATACATTATTAATCCATGGTTCTTTTTCTTCAAATTTATCAAAATTAGATGTTAATTTCTTTTTATCTGGTATATAAGGTGGTTTTTGATTTCGTATATTAATCCAATCAATACCACAAAAGAAAGGATGTTTTTTTATTTTATTTGAATCTCCTAATCTTTCACTAGAATCAGAAATCAATTTAAGAATTAAATCTTAACATTAAGAAGATATTTTTGGTTCTTTGGGTATTTTAAAATGATGTTTCCAAGATAATATTTTTTAACAGGTTTTTTATGGTGTGTCACTATAAAAAGGTGGATAACCTATTACCATTTCAAATAAAATAACACCTACACTCCACCAATCTACCAATTAATTATAACCTTTTTAAGAGAATATTTCTGGTGCAATATAATCAGGTGTACCAACAGTAGAATATGCTAATTAACGACGTGAATTATTATTTTTAGACTATATTTCTTAAGTATTATTTTTATATGGAATAGCCATATCATAATGTACACCTAAATGTTTACATAAACCAAAATCTGATATTTTAAGATGACCATCTGCATCTATTAAAATATTATCAGGTTTAAGATCTCTATGAATATAATTCATACTATGAATTTCTTCAACTGCCAAAACAAGTTCTGCTATATAAAATTTTGCATCTCTTTCTGGAATTATATCCTTTTTAATTAATAAAGTCATCAAATCTCCACCACTTAAAAATTCCATTACTAAATATAAATTATCATCATCTTGAAATGATTATTTTAATTCAACAATCCATTTACATTTAGATTATACTAATAAATCTCTTTCAGCTCTAATATGTCCTAATTGATTTTTAAAAATCATTTCAGATTTCTTCATTTTTTTAATTGCTACAATTTCATTTGTACTCTTATGTCTACAAACTCTTACTTCTCCAAAAGCTCCTCTACCAATTATGGCAAGGGATTCATAATCTTCAACCGTAATCTTTTATCTCCTAAAGATTAAATCATATTAACTTCTTTCTTAATCGCATTGCTTCCTTATGTTATATTTCCTTTTTAATCAACTCTTATTCTATAGGTGTAAAATTAAGGCTTTTTAGAATTAATTCCAATTGCTACCAATCTTATATTTTTTCCTTTTCTTAAGTTATAAACATTTTATATTTTCTTTCTATATAGGCTTTGCAAGCATTAACTCTATCTTTTGTTTTATTACTAATTTTGATTTCTGCCATTATTTATATATATATATTTTAATTGAATACTTATAGATAATTAATTATATAATTTAATTGTCATAATCTGAACATAAATGTTGTTTTAGGTTATATCTATTATTTCTTTTACAATCCCAAAAGAGATGAACTTTGTTTATGATCATATACTCTATTAAAAAATTAATATGCATATTGTTATAATGAAATTCTATCTTAAGATCTATTAGGAGAAGGATCTGTTCTTGTATTAAATGAAAATCTTTATTCAAAATTTTTTTAAGTTTTTCTTTATGGATAGATATTTTGAAAATCAAATGTAAATTAAGGATATGATGGTTATCTTCTAGTTGTAGTTGGTTTACCTAATTTATTATTAAGATAGCTATCAAAATCCTTTCTTAATCTTGGAGATGAATTTTTATGTTCTTATTTTCCATTAAATATATTTGTAATTCTTTTTTACATATCTTTAAGTCTATCCTACTAAATTTCAGCTCTACTTTTTAATAAATAGGAATGTTTTGGTGGTGATATTTTTTTATTATAATTGAAATTATCCAAAAAATTAAGAGGTCTTTATTTAGGAGGTGTTATAGTAGTTTATGTGAAATGATTAATTTAAAAATCACCTTAAATATTAATGTATTTAGTAGGTGAATTTCCTGATGCATAACTTTTAAATAAATCAGAAAACTATTAAGCTGATTTCTATCCAGATGATATTAAAAGTTATTGTTCATTTTCTTATTTTTATTATTAGAACTTTTACTGATTTGTTGCTTACTTTATATTTTAATCAACTTATGTCCAATGATTCTCAAATTCATCTAAATCTATGGCACCTGATTTTGAAGTGTTTAAATAATCAAAAAGTTGTTTAATGGTTCTATTGATACTTTTATCAAATATACTCATCAGATTGAATATTGTGATTTCTCTTTAATTCTGATGATAAGTCATCAATTTCAATTTCTCCTGAGTTATTAACATCCAAATCAGAATATGCACTATTAATATCACTGTATTTCTTTTGTAATGCTACTATGATTCCTCTCCAAATTTTCAATAATTCCAATTAATCCATAATAAAATTTATTTCTGCAATTAATTTATCACAATTTTTACTACATTTATATAATACTTTAAGTTTAGTATATCAATTATATACTAATTAATTAGACAACTAGCATGTTTTATTTGTATTTTGTATTACTTAAAAGTCTATAAATAAAATTAAATAAAAAAACAATCATTATATTGTTATTGAATATGTAATCACTTTCAGAATCAAAAAAGAGGATTCATGAACAATCATATGCCTAAAAAGTATCCCATCCTATAACTCCTGATAAATCTCATATCAAATTAAATGAATCTCTATTTAATGCTAACATAGTAGCAAAAAAATCTTGTTCTTTAATCAAAGATGTTCACAAAGATGTTTAATTAACAATCAAAAAGTATGATGAATTCTTAAAACCTATACATACACATAACAAAATTCCTGAAACAATAACAAGTACTACATCAATTATGAAACCTCATTTAATTGAAGAGACAAAAATACAAAAAGATGATGACTAAGGTCTACTTAGTCAATATAATAGATATGCAAGTTCTTAAGAATTAAGAAGATAATCTCTACCATTAGAACGATCTGAATTGAGATTATCAAGTTTTAAAGTTAAAGAAGATCTATTCCCAACAGAAGACATCAGTCCTATCAAATAATAAAATAATAGTAATTTTGTATTTAGACGAAACTCATCTTAAAACTTTACTTAACCTCCTATTAATTAATCTTAATAGTCAACGCTTTCTGAACATTATGGAAGTTATGCAAAAATACATTTGCGTAAATCTCCATCATCTCCAAAGATAGAAATTATTAAATAAGATAAGCCAAAATCCTCTCCTGATATTGCAAAACGAAATCAAGAATGGAAATAAAGACTATAAGAAAAAATTAATTTTGAGTAAAAAAGAAAGAGCGAAAAAGAATTGAAAGATTGTACTTTTAGACCAAAATTAAATGAGACAAAATCAAATGAGAAATCTAAAACAAAAATAACATAAAAAAATAGGAAGAGTGTTGTTAATAATTGTTAAAATCCGAAAATGAAAGAAATAATGAATATTATTGCAGACTTAAATTAATTTAGTAAATAATTGAAAAAGAGATTATGATTTTGAGTAAAGATATGATATATATATATACTATGAATAAAATATTTATATAAAAAGAATTCATATAGTAATATCAATATTATTATTTTTCTTATTTCTTAGCTTTATAAGTGGTTTCAATGAAAACTTCTTATGTAAAAATGCTACAAATTCATCTTATTTTCTATTTTCTCTATTTTTTTTAAATTTAACTTCTTTATCTTCTCTTGATACACTTCTAGTTATTCTTAATGATAGATCTTTAATATCACTCCTTTCTTTATCAAGTTCTTCTATAATTTAATTGAATCCATATATTTCTGCAGCTTAATATTTTTGATTAACTTTCTCAAATTTAGGTTTTTAAAAGAATTTTTAGACTTTTATATGTGCTGTAATTCTTTTTTGTTTTTCTTATGATTATTAAAATGTTTTGAGATTGCTAACTCTCAAAACTTTTTAACAATATTTTTCACTCCATAATTATGATATTGGGACAGAGTTAGTTGTTACAGCAGTTGGTAATTAATATTCTAAATTGATTGTAGGTTGTTTTTAAAGAAATGTTTATAAAGTTAATTATCTTTAGTTCATTTAATAAAATTAATATCAAATATAACCCATTTTAGCTGCAATATCTTCTTTTGTCAAACCATCCTTATCTTTACTTGCATCTTAAATGAATTCAAGAATGTCAGCATCACTAATTTGTATATCAAGATATTGAGCAAATACATTCTTTATTTCAGGTAAACCTACTTTACGATCCCTTTATTTATTTATTACTTTTACTTTCTTACAAATAATTCATAAATTTCATCAATTTCTTCATCTCTTCCTTTATTTTCAAACCACTTTTTTGAAATCAATTATATAACATCTTTTAATGAAAAGCTATCACGAGTTCTAATAATAAAATTATATAATACTCTTCTACAACATCTCTAATATCTTCTTCTATATCTTTTACAGTTTTATTTATGAAACCAAAATTACCCAATATTGATCTCATATTTTAACGATTAATGAATCCTGTTCTTGAAGGATCATAAAAATTGAAACAGTCTCTAATTTCTGATTCCTATCATAATTTTATAATGATATACCATATCATCAGGTAGTTTTTATGTTACTTGTTGTTTAGGACCTTTGCTTTAATTTTTAGGGTTTTGAAGAAGAGTTTACTTTTTTTTATCTTATTTCATAGGGGAATATAATTAATATTAAATTATTTATTTATTAAATAAATAAAATAATCCAAAATCCTTAATGAATAGCAACAGTAAATCAATATATAAAAATGTTGAATTTCAAGATGAACCCTATTCAACCAATAATAAATTTGCCGTGTATGTACCAAAGTAAGAAATACCTAAATAACATGAACCTTAATAAATGTATTCTAATTCACAATAATTATAATCACAATAAAAATAATTGAAAGTTGAATTTCAAGATGAATAAGAAAATCGTAATATCTAAAATTAGATTGAGTAATAGCAATTTGAATAGGAATAGTAATAGTAATAGTCTTAAAGGAATCAACCAAGAGTCGAAACATAAAATCAAAGAAATGTAACTTAAAATAGATACAGATTATCAAATCAAACTCCTAAGACAGCTCAAGGTAAGTAATAACATAAATTTTACAGTTCTACTCCTTCTTAAAGCATTTAAAAATAAAGGACCCTTTAATAATTTAAAGATAGTTTGTATTTTGATGAAAGAATAAATAAAGTACCAAAATCAACTATAAGAAATTAAATTATTGACAGTATTGTTAGTGATGCTGATTTATTACTTTAAAGAAGAGAGTTAATGACATCTATATATAAATTGAAATAACTGAATCTATTAAAAAACAAGGAATTTGCAGTGTAATATTAAATTATCAAAAATAGGAATCGTCTTCCAGGAGTAGGAAAATCAAGTTTTGTTTATAATGATTATCATACCAAGAGTACAAATAATGGATATTCAAGAAATTTCGGTGGAGTATTTTATACTAGATGAATAATTTATCTATTATAAAATAAATATTTTAAAAATATTGATATTCCTAAATATTGTATGATTGAAATTTATGTAATCAATCATCATCTTCATATTGGAATAATATTAAATTAATTATTATTTTCTATTGAATCTAAATAATGTTTGAATTTTTATTGATTTATTTTCATTTTTTTTTGAGAATCATTAATAAAAAACAAAAATATTGAATATATGATTTGAATATTGATTCTTATTAAAATAAATGGAATGATTTAATAGAAGTATATTAATTAAATGAATTATAGGCTTAAAGTTTGTTGTATTCTGTGAATTGATGAATAATTTTAATGTAGTTATATATGACATAAATTAAATAAAGATATATTTATTTTTAAAATGGTAACAAATATCACTAATAATCATGTTAGGGAGTTGATGCATATAAGAAGACAAGAGTATAAAGAAATGTTTAAAGAAAGGTGACCTCAACAAACCTTTATTTGAAATTGTTAATCAAGGTATTTTAATAATTGAATTAAATCTTAGCTATATAAATTCTTAGCCAGAAGAACAGATTCAAATTTCAATGCAACAGTTTTAAGAAGACTTTAATAAACAAGAACAGCCAGATATCCAATCAGTGTTAGCAGACTTGTTAAATAAATTAATACAGCCAAAGACAAGACAAGAACACTTGTTGTTGTAGGCACTGTCACAGATGAGTAATTATTTATTAAATAGCATTTAGTGTACGTCTTCTCACTGTTCCAAAGATCAATGTTTGTGCTTTGAGATTCACTGAGACAGCAAGAAAGAGAATTCTTGCCGCCGGTGGAAAGGTCTTAACTTTTGATCAATTAGCACAATAAAATCCAACTGGTATATAAATAATTTAATATTTAAAGGCACTGGAACAATCTTATTAAGAGGACCAAGAGTAAGAGAAGAATTGAAGCATTTTGGTAGAGCTGCAGGATTACCAGGATCACATGCTAAGCCATATGTTAGTCACACTGCAAGAAGAGGAAAAGGTGCAAGATGATTGTTCTTTTTAAGTACATTAATATATAAAAAACATCGTAATCATTTAATCAAAATTATTTACAAAAATTTTATTCATATTTAAAATGTCTTTTCTTTTCCATGAGTTAATTAAAATAATTCAAATTTGTACATAGAACCTTTTAACCAAAGTTTTTCAATCTTTTTTAAATTTTGCATTAATAAAAAGTATTTATTTCCACTTTCTTGTATTTAATCAATTCTAAGAATAACTGTTTATGAAATTTTTGTAAACTTTTTATTCCAAATAGATCTTTCTATATTTTCTTTCCTTTTAGATTATTATAATTATTAACTTTGTTCTTAATATTCTTAAATATAATGATTGAGAGATTAATGTAAAGGAATAAATTTATTCCTTGTTTATCTAACATGTTAAAGAACTAAATGTTTGATTCTAATTTCTGGTAATTTTTGAATAAAACATTATTAACTTAAATTAGCATATCTACTTAAATGAGAATGAACTGATGATGATTTTCTAGATAAAGAGATTATTTCATATTTTTATTTTAAATATTTCTTTGGAAAAACTCTTTTAATAATTTAGTAATTATTCAATTCTTTCCATTAATCTGGCAAATTATCATCAAGTAAATGATTCATTTCTATAATTCTATGTACAGATCTTTTAAATTTTACTAAACCATTTTATGCTTTTTATATTCTTTATCCAATGACTTTACTTAACATCATTTTATTATACTCTTCCATATTTTATAATTAACATTTCTTCTTTTCCAATAAATACTCTTCTCTGGTCATTTATAAAAATGATTATGTAAAAATTTTAACATGCTATCTTTTATATGATGTTTTCTTTCCTTATTTATTTCTAATATTTTACTTTTTTCTTCATTAAAATTATTTATAATGAGTCTTCTTCTTCTTTGATGTAACTATTTAATTTCAAAATCCAATTTTGAACTCTATTCCATAGATCTTCTTAATATTCTGTATGGAATAACTAAGCAAATCGATTTTTTTTATGCTATACAATAAGTACCTCTTAATTTCTCTTCGATTGCTTCAAATTCTCCAAATATTGTACCTTCCAATATATTCAATAATAATCCCTTGTCTTTTGTCATTATTCTAATATCTCCATCTAAAAGGAAGAAAATTTCACTAGAATTTTGGCCTTCTCTATAGATAATACTTCCTTCCTCTACAATCATATATCTAATATTTATCAATAACTAAAAAGTATTGTTGATATCATAAAGAAAAAATGGAATTTATTTACAAAAATCTAACATAGCACTAATAGACATATATAATTTTAAATTATGTGGTAATTGTTTTGTCATTAATCTATATTCCTCTGACCAAAAAGGATTATGAATCATATTATTTTTTATAAATTATAAGAATTTGTATTTTAATTTATCAGGCAATTTTCTAGCATTACCTAATTATTCAATTAAAAATAGAATCTCTTATTCTTAATTTGCTTTTGATTTTTCCATTAATAAAGCAAAATCACCAATTGTAAATGAATAAAATGCAACTCCTATTATCATCCAAAAAATAAAAAATTCATGTTAAGTTTATACATCTCCATATCCTACAGTTGTAATAGTCTAAGATGCCCAATATATATTTGTTATATAATCACCTTAATCAAAATAGTGTTACCAACATCCAAATATATGTACTAATAAACATGATGTTATTAAAACATTTATTAAATATTTTGTGCCTGTTTTCAATTAAAATTCATAATGAGGATCAAGTGTTTCAATCACTTTAACATAATTCTTTTATCCCTTGTATGTAATTTATCTCTTGAATATAAAGTATTTTAATACTCTTATCATTTTAAAATATTTCTACTTACCTTCTTCATGTTTTATAATAGGTATTGCAGATATCAAATCAAATATAAACCATGTTTTTATATAATTATAACAGATTTATTAGTAATTTAAAATCAAATTATTGTTTTCATCAATATATCCAGTATTAAAATTCATTAAAATATCTATTATAAATACAATATCAAAAATTAAAACTGTATACTCTAATTATTCAAATAAATTAAAGCAAATATAAATTGGATAAATTATTACACTCAAAAAAGTTACAAATTCAACAAAATATTTCCATTTTATAACAATAATATCATCAGGATAAAATGGAATCATTGAAACTCTATTAAATTAAATTGAATCCATTCTTTGAAAATGTTCCTTTTTTGAATATTCTTTTAATGAATTTATAAAACTTATAGTAATCCTTATAGTTGTAAAATACCTTTTTAATATGGATACATATTTCTATTACTACTTATGCTCTGGAGAATCCCCTTCAATATTTTAACTACTTAAAACGATTCGCGTACGTAAAGATTGAAATGGTTGTGTTTCTCTTTATTTATTTTGGTCTCTCATAAGTTGACATTGCCATTTATCTATTAGTAGTTGATGCTAATTCTAAATGTGGACTATGTATGTTAGTCTGGAGATTTTCTATGATTTCTCGTGAGCTTGGTTAAACGTAATATCCAAACATTTAATATATTAATTTAATTATTATATTTAAATGTTTTCACAAATTAGATTAATCAATTATATAATATTCATCTGAAAATTGATTTATAAAAAAGAATTAAGGAATTTTTAAATTGTCAAATTTCATCTGATAACTTTAATATTAAAGCCTATATATATATGAAATATATCTTATAACAGACATAAAATCAATTAAAGTATTATTTCATAAAGATTAATTTAAATAAATAAGTCAATCTAATTTTTGATGCTTTAATAGATACTGAGTTAAAACGTTATCGGTATGTAAATTTAAGAAATGTCCTCTAAGTTAGGCTAATTCAAGTCATTTTTGTCAATTTTTCTTATTAAATTCTTTATTACCACTATATCTGGATCTTGTTATCATCATCTTCCTATGACATTCCAATTAAAGCATACACAATTTATAATTTGTTATTTCGATCAATTCTGATATTGTTATGATTTATAATAAATTGAATGCAACACCATGCATCATTAATCTAGGATTTTATAGTACCTTATCAATGTATAATCTAATAGTTTCCATCAATAGGGCTTCTTCTCCAAACCATAATCTTCTGTTTTTCCCTTGTCCATACAATTGATTTAATCCATAATTTGATTATAAGTAATGTTTCTGGGAATAGATTTATTGTTTTTTTAATAAATTCCTAGCCTTATGGAAGATATGATAGGATTACATCTGATAGATCCTTTGTATGATCTAATAAAATTGCCTATCTATTAACAATAAATTAATTAAAATAAAATTATTTATGAAGGAATAAATTTTCATCAAAAGATTCAAATAAAAAATATATTTGTTGATTTAAATAATTTACACAAAATGTATTGATCTAGAAAAATAATTTGTTTAAGTACTAGAATGTAATTGATTTAGGTATATAATCTATGAATATTGGAATTATTATTCATTCTAATTGATTTTTTATATGTAGATTCTTTTTTTGAAACATAATTTGCTTAAACATTAGGAACATCCTGAGATTGATGATTTCTAGTTACAGTAACGATTGCAGAATCAGCCAAATTGCTATGATGATGCAATAGACTTAAATCTAATTATAAAGTTGGTTGAAGTAATTTATGTCTTTTTTTTAGGAGTTTAATTTCTTTTATTAGACTATGGGCCTAGTAAACATTAATAGAAGAATGAATTATTGTAAAAATTAAGGTCCATCTTATTTAAAAAAATATATGAACATTAGTTTTATAATCATTTTTCTACATCCATTTTAGTGCCTTTTATTAATTGTTTTTATATTTCCTTTGTAATTAAATGATGTTTCTTTTTACTAATTAATCTTTTTAATTAATCTTTATGATCTTATTTAAGTTAATACAATTCACAGACTCTCAAAATCATTTAATGCCATATAACTGGCATTTCCCTTGGATCATTCTCATATCTTATAAAATATTTAATCACTTCATCTAAAGCCTAAAATATATATAATTTATACTCTCTCTGGTAAAGAAAACTTCTTTTCAATTAACACTTTTAAAATAACAGCAACTGGACCTGTAAAATCTAACTAGGCAACTTTAAAAATAGCTATTGAACCATGAATTGGTGGAATATGTAACTAGAATATCAAATTAATAATTATTACTTTATGTATTACACTACCTATAATTTATGCTTCTTTTAATGTAAAATCCTTCTCCAAACATAATGGAAACAATATTGATCTGAACCATGCTTATGGTTTATACATAGCTTTAATTAATGCATTATATAAATGAACATTCAATCTTTTGTCTTCTTTAATACTTAATCTAACTGCTGGTAAGATTATAGTTGAATATAAATATTCAGTTTGTTATCTATCTAGGGCAGATGAAAAGATTTTAGTAGCTGCAAAGATTGCTTAAGGAGACCATTCTTAAGGTTTGGTTAATTCAAACACTTATTTCCAATGTTCCAATTTTGGAATAAGATGGAATGGTTATGGTAATTTGCCTGATCTATATGTTTTCATTAATTCTGCAACGCTATATTTAATTATAATTTTTATACTTTTCATATACACATACTACTTTTGGATTATTCATAATATTTTCATGATGTTTTTTATTTTCATCATCTTATAATCCTTTTTAGAAGTCATCTAGAATTTAATTAGTTTTAGTATCATTTCCAACCATAAATTATGATAAGATTTATTCATCTTCAGGTGATATTTTTAATGAATCAATTATAAATGTATTTGGTAATTCAAGTACATCATCTTATTCTTCAAGTTATTCTTATTATTTATCTTTTGGTTTTCTTGTTTATTTTTGAGTTTCTCTTTTGATTCTTCTTAATTCTCTCATTCCTTTCTTTTTTTCACCTAGTCTTCTCAAAAGCTTTCCTGGTTATTATGTTAATGCAGTGGCACTAATAAAACCTACTTTCTTATTTGATTATTTTAGAACTCCTTAAGATGTACGTAACACTCTTTATTTTTTTGCTGTCTTTTTAATTACCATTAATTATATTAATATAAAATGTGTATGAATAATTCAACAGAATATTTCATTTTTTAACATTTAACAATAATTATATGATAGATATAGATCATTTATTTTATGAATATTTATTTATTAATCTATCCACATAATTCATTATCTATATATTCATACTTTTTATCTATAGTAAATAATTAAATTATATTGAATAAATGTGAAATAATTTAATATTAAATATAAATTCATATTTATTCTCTATATTTATCATATCTTATTTTCATAATTATTGATCTAATATTATTAAATAAAAATGTATGGTATGATATATATTTTATTTTTTAAACTTTATAATTTCAATAACTAATTCTAATGATTTATACCTATTTAGTTTATTTATAATTTATTACGTAAAATTATATCATTAGTAATATTACTTATAGTATTTTGTTATCACTTATTTTTATAATATATTAATTATAGCATTTTAGGAAATATCATAAATTACATTTTTGATTTATATTTAATAATAATAATATATATATATATAATGACTCAAAATAATGAGGAACTGCCTTTCAATCCATTCAATCCTATTAAAACATATAGATTGTATTCTTCAAGAAGCCAAACAGCTCATTAACCTAATAGATAAAGTTCTGTTTAATTAGTATAATAATAAAATGTGGCCAGCAATCAATATACATAAATGGGAATACATAATTATGCTTTATTTATTAGAAACTCAGAAAATAAAGGGTTAAAATCTGATAAAAATTTTAATGCTTATATTAAGAAATTAGAAGAAAACAGAAAACTGTCTAAAAACTTAATTTAATAAACAAAATAATAACAAAAATGTGAATCATTGTAAACACAATAATTTGATGATGATACAAAGAAAACAAGTCATGGTCCTCAAATTAAAAATACTGCTAAGGATTAAAAAAAAGAGAAGTTTTAACATTAGATTACTGAAATGATTGCAGAAATAAAAAGTCCATTTTATAAAAAGGGAAGATATTTACTAAATGAAGACAAGGATAAAGAAAAGAAATTAGCTAAACCATTATTTTTTGGAATTCAAAATTAAACAAAATAATAATAAAGACGTAAACTTGTATTCTCTTAGGTTGACATAAATAAATGTATCCAAATATATTATATTAAAATAGTAAGATATAAAATCTTTTTTGATGATTACAATCCATTATCAAGAATTGTTACAAGTTAATAAAGTGTTTAGAAAGAGGAAACAATTAATGAATCACCATTAAAAACAGATTAACAATTCTTTATTGAATAATGAACTATATTAATATACTTTGTAATGTAAGAATGTTCATTGTGATGTCTTTTTTAATTCTTCCAATTCTAAAGCTTTCTTTAAAGCTTCTTATTAATGCCTTGATTTTATTCCTACTTATCCACCTCCAATAGTTCTTAATAATTCATGGTTTTCATTATAATGTTATCTTAAATCACGAGCCTTAACAATTATATTTAAATTATTACTAAATTATCAAATTCTGCTTGATCTTCTTTTCTGACTTCAGTCAAAGCAACACAAGTAGCAGTTTTCTAATGTACTAATGCTCCCAATCTAGCTTTATCTATAAAGTAAATGATTAAATTTAATACTTTTAATGAAACAAAATGGTACTTCTTATCTTCTACATAATTATGGTAACCATACTACTAATTCAATTGGATCAACATCATAAGCTATTAATACTAATTTTGCTTTTTTAGTTTCAACCAATGTAGTAACATGATTAAGTCCAAATTTCAATACTTGTACTTTTTTTGATTCACCTTTTTAAGCTTATGCTTTTTATTCAGCTAATTTTGTTAATCTTTGTTTCTTTTCAGTTTTTGTTTCTGGTTAATATTTCTTTAATAAATTCAATACTTTTGAAGCTAATAACATTAAATAAAAGTGATTTACATTAATTTTTATCTAATGTTTTGCTGAATTAATGAATTGCAGCAGGGACTTTAATTCTTTAAAGTAAGATTTTCTTCTATCTATGAAGTAAAATATATCTTGGCCATCTAACATATCTAGATAAATCTCTTTTAGGTTAAACATCGTTGCCAATTCTGAAATTTTTAGCTTCTTTAACAAATAATGGATTCTTTTTTCTATCTGCAACTCTTTTTTATAATTTCTTTGCTTTTGATGTTTTTGCTGCTTTTGGCTTAGAATATCAATACATTTAATACCATTTAATATCTTTTTAAATAAAAAAAATATATATATAAATATTAGTAATGTTTATTCATTCTTAAGAAATAGTATTTTAATATTATTTTTTTTTGATTTATGTATAGGTTATTAATGATTTGGAATAAATATTGCAAATATATGATTATTAAATAAAATTCTAATAAATAAAAAGATTGATATTAATATATATATAAATGGATACTAATAAGTTAAGAAGTTCAGGTTATTAATTATCAGATAGAGTTTAATTTGGTGGAGTTTTCGAGCCAGAGAAATGTAAACAGATAGCAAAACAAGTGATGGAATTGTATGATTCAAACAAGGATGGATATATTGAATAAAATGAAATTGCTATGATGTTATCTGATGCATATAGAGCTATGAATAAAGGATTCAATCCAACTTCTTAGGATGTTTCTAATTGTTAGGCCATTTTAGATAGTAAGTTTATATATAATATATTAAGGGAAATCGACTGGACGTGTTCATACAGAGGATATTGAATAATTGGTTTAGAAATACTTTTCTGGACAACCACCAGCATAACCAGTAAAGAGAGTACCAGAAAAGTTGTCAAGAATAGCATAAGAAAGATTGGAGGTGGCTAGACGTATCTTTAAATTTGTGGATAAAGATGGATCAGGATTTTTAACTGAGGAAGAAGTAACTAAATTTTATTTATAAATTAAAGGTACCAGAGTTATTGAAAGAAACTTATAAACATATGGGAATGAATGATTATTAACCAACAAAGGAGGATGTAACTATTTGGATTTAGATGACTGATACAGATGGAGATGGTAAGGTGACTTTAGAAGATTATGAATAATTGGTTTTAGATTCATTAAGAAAACAAGGAATCAGTTTGGAATGATTTAATAAATAAGTAGAATATATATAATAGTAATTGCACTTCATAGCAATAATTAAACTGGGCTAATTACTGAGGGTGATTCTAAATAACTATTTATATAATGGTTGAGTTTTAATTTGCGTTTCTGTTGGAATTATTTCATTTTTCTACATTCAACATATAATTCTTGTTCTGAGTAATTGCATTCCTCCAAAAATTACTTCATTTCAAACTCTTTAAAGAAGTTTTCGAGATCTAATGATCGATGTGTATTTGATTTATAACTAAACTCTGGCAAATTAACTATTTGAAGTGACATTAATGTTTCTGTTAAAAATTAATTATTAAATTATTATATCTCCAATTATACAATTTAAGCATCATTCCTCTTGTTAAATGGATTAATTTATAATCAATAAAACAAAAAAAGAAAATGTATATGTTAACTATATTATTAATTAAATATTTGAATTTAAGTATATAAACCTTATTCTTCATTTATGAATACGTTGTCAACCATTTGTTAGAAACATATCAAACACATAGAAGGTAGCTTATGAATATAATAGTTAGCATTCTGTTCAGATGATTGTTCTTTGTTATGTATTAATTGCATTCTGTATGATGGTCATAAAGGACATTAATTTTAATCTCTTGAAGATGTATTCTTATTCTCTATTTAGAGTTTACGAATGGAATTAAATAGATTCTACTCAATCTCTGAAAATGTTCAATTAAATCATTAGAAAGCCATTAAACAATTTTAATAGTTAGCATAGATGAATGACTAACTTGACATTGAGTATTAGAGAGTTAACATAGAAATCTCCAAATTTTTTAATTCAATTCGCTAATCTATTCAAGAACGAGAATCCAAACTGCAAGAACAAGTAAACCACTTAACCATCTATCTCTTAGTTAAATCAGTCACTTATCAACTAGAAATAACAAATATCTCAAAACTAATAAAAGCTACAAATACAACTATAAGATATTAATGATTATTTGCAAGAATTATAAGAATTAGATGAAAAATCTTAAGATCCTATTAAATTTCTATAAACAACATAAAATAGAACTAAACTCATTAATAAATTACCTAAATCAATAGTTACAATAGATTAAACCATCAAATTTCCAGAATTAAATAAAGAACAAGAAAATTAAAACATTATTAAAATTTTATCTAAAAAGGTTATTTCATAGTAAGTTTTACCTCCTCCACCTACTTAATAGACTGCATCCACTTAATAAAAAATTGTTTAATCTATTAAAAAATAAAGTAACAATTAGTAGTAATAGTCTTATAATGCTTAATATCAATAATAATAGAATTAAATACTTTAGTAATAATAATCTCAATAATAATAATAAAAAAAAATGAATCAATCAAAAAAGGTTCCATTATGTGAAACTAATGGACCTTGTGCTGTTCAAATTAATCTTAAAAAGAAAGTAGAAGAAAAATAAATTAATTAAGTAAGATTAACAAACTTTTAAGAAGCTAGAAATTAAATGAAAGAAAGAAATTATGAAAAAAGTGTAGAAAGAAGAAAAGATAGAGATCATAGTACTCCTAGAAGATTATTTAAAAATTAATCAAAAGTTAGTTAAGATCCATAATCACCTTTTTTACATTAGGATGATTCAAAATAAGAATTTAATATATTTCTAAATTCAATTCATGATTTTGAACCTGAATTGACTAATGTAAGTCATATGTCAATGGATTATCAATATATTACAATTGGTGGTTTTGTTGATAGTTTAAAATAAATAGTTGAAAAATATGATATTAAAACTGATTATGCTAGTGAAAAAGATTAATTAAAAAATAATAGATGTAAATTTGGAATAGCACATTTAATAAATGGAAATATATTATTAATGGGTGGTAAAGTTGATGGTGTTCGTATTGATACTTGTGAAGAATATAATTATAAAGATAAAAAAATTGTACCATCAAAAATTAAGTTACCATCATCCAGAAGTGGATTCGGAACATTAAATGTTAATCAATTTATTTATATCATTGGTGGAAATGATGGTCAAGGTAAGTAGGATTATCTAATTTTTTAGAAAATTTAAAAGATTTCGACTGTTTTAATTAGATTGACAATAATTGGATTAAATTTCCATCCATGATTGAAGCTAGAGATGAATTGGCTATCTGTATGTATGATAATGCTATTTTTGCTATAGGAGGGTTTGGAGGAACATGTAAATTATTAATATAATATCAATTAGTTAATACTTGTCTCAAAACTGTTGAAGTGTTTACTTCTGGAAAATGGGGTCATTGTGCTCCATTAAATATACCAAGAAGAGCTTTAGCAGGTGTTTCCTTGCCTGATGGTATTTATGCAATTGGAGGATTTGATGGAACTTAATATTTGAATAGTGTAGAAAAGTATGAGGATGGTCGATGGACCTTAATAGAGTCTATGATTCATCCAAGATGCACATTATCAGCATTACCAACTCCAGATAATTAATATATTTATGTATTTGGAGGTTTTGATAATGGTCCATTGGATTCGGTTGAAAAGTATCATTATCTATTTATATTCAAGATATTCAGTATTGAGCGGTAATTGGGAAGAAATAAATTCTATGTTGGCTAAACGATTTATGCATTAAACTTTTATTACACTAGCATGATTCTTATAAAATCATATATTAAAATATTTAATATTCTAAATTCATTATAAAAATGGAATAAGACATATTTAAATAGTATATATAAAATAATAATAATCATTTTAGTTTTTATTTGTTAACAATCTAAATTAAATTTGTCGTTTGATCTATTTACTTAGATTATTGGACTTAATTAACTATTCTTCTTTCTGTCAATAATTTCTATTGTAATTCAATGCTTTGAGCATAAAGATTAGAAAGCTTCATTTCTTTCATAGATTCGAAAGATTAATCACAATCATCAAAAGCATATAATTCTGAAGGCTTATCAAAGTTTGAAAGTATATGATAACTTTTTCTGCTTCTCATAATGTTTGCAAAATATTCTTTTTAGTCTTCTTATTTTTATTAAAATTTTTCTATCAACATCTAGCCATGAATGTATTTAAATAGTTGCACATCTTTAATAGAAGGAGGAGCTTTCTTATTTTATAAATTAATATCAAATTCTGTAAAATATTTACGATGTTTTCTATCTGAAATTATTTTAAGTTTAGCCTTTCGTTTTTATTTTAATTCCATTTATTATAAAGCTTCATGTTATTATTTAAAGTATTGTTCAATGTGATCTTAGACTTCTAAGGTGGCTGCTTACTTCAAACAGTATTAAGTCTAAGATTTGATGAGTTTTTAGTTCTTATTAAATTTTAACTTAATTCCAGATTTACTATAATCATAAAGTTTGGTTGGTTCATATTACCTGACTCCATCTATTCTATCAGTCAACAAATCCTTTGATTTAATTTTAGCTATATGATCAACTATATGATTATTTAATTAAGAGAACATTCTGCTTCCTTTCAAGTTAGATTCTAGTTTTAAAGACTAAAATAAAAATAAATAAAACTATTTACTTCTCTTAATTTAATATTTGAGTTAATCAATGTTCTTACTTTTGTGAATCTTCTTTCCACTAATTCCTTTCTTAATTATTATTATTCCTTTTGTTTATGGAATTCTTACTCTAATTAAGTTAATCTTTTCCTCTTTATCACTACATTCATATCTTTTACTAACTTATTAGCAGAGTACTTCCCATCTAAAAATAATTGAAACTTCTATCCATTAACTTTATCATATTAGAATGCATTTGGAATATCAATCGGACAATATTTAGTCATTTCATCACTATTCCATTTTCTCCTTTCCTTTTGAATTGGTTATGTTTCAGTTTATGGACTATTAACTTCTGATGGATATTATTTTGAGTTAATTGTTGTTTGAAGTTCAGATTCTGCATTATAGCATTTCATAGTCAAATTTTATAATTAACTAATATAAAAATTAAATCATTTATTCACAATGTATCATTTTATCAATGATTGTAAAAGAACTAAAAATAACCATATCTATATATATTAACATTATTTGTACATTCAATAGAAATATTATATATATCTTTATTAATAGAAATAAAATTATTTATTTCTTTAAATTACACTTATGAGTGCAAAAGTGTTCAAAATAAATATAAAATAACTTAAAATATAAAGTAATTAATAATAAAAATAAAAGATTGATAATTTATAAGAAAAAAACTAATAAAAATAAATTTACATATAAAAATACAAATAAGACAAATTAAAAATAAAGTACTTTAATCTTTATTAGAATTTTCAACAGATCTTAATTTGTCTAAACATTTTAAATATTCTATCAAAGATAGTTACAAATAATAATGCTAAAATTAAAATTAAAATTAAATTGGTTTTCTGTTAAAAATCAATTATATAGTTTCTTTTTTCATCTCATAAAAATATACATTTTTAAATAATACTCAAAAGAATTATTTTATGAATATTTCATATATAATAATTGCATATAAATTTACAATTATTATCCATTTATTAATAGTAAGAGTAAGATAAAATATATATATAGTATATAATATAATTAAGATGATGAATATTATTTTATTACCAAATTGTGAATTAAAATATCAATATAGAATCATATTATCTATTTAATTCTTAAATTTTAAAGTCTATTTTATGAAATTTAATAAGAAATACATTAGAATTAAATTAAAAACAAAAATTCTAAATCTAATTATGAATTAGACACACATAAAAATGATACAGAATGTATAAATAATTAAATTTGAAAAGGTAGTAATTAATTTTATGAATTGTCTCTTTTAAGGTATATAAAAAAAATAGTGAATAGACATATTTAATTTATAATAATAGTATAAACTAGTTATATAATAAATAATTATTATTAACGAGAATGCCTCCCAAACAGTAACATCTTAAAACATAATCATCAGAGATATCAAATTAGGCCCTTATGAATTATCTATCTAATCGAGAAGCATTACATGCAAGAATGTCTAATTCACCAACATTCTAGATAGACTATAAAGTATAATTTTATGTTCACCTAAGAGCAAATAAATTGGTCCTTACTAATCCACCATGTTTAAATCGAATGCTTCATAGCCTACTCTCAAAATCACTTAATAATAGTACATATGGCTATAGACGTAGATAAACCTTACGAAAAATATAACAATCAGATTTACTAAAATCGAAAGGATTCATGTCTCCAAAGATTACTAGTCAGGAAAGAGTAAATTAAAAGACATAAACAAAATCTCGTGGCAATCATATGAAAACTCAACCTCATTCCAATCAAAATTCCTAAACTAAAATGAAATCTATGGAAAGTGTATAAGACGACTGTAAATTTAGTTATCCTAAACTTAGCTCCAAAACAATTATTTAAAAGTCAATAATACTCAACATTAGCCAAAGCAGAACAACTCTTTAAATAGCAGACATCTGAATCAAAATAGAAACAATCATCTGATATGTTAGCTAGATTAAATTTCTAAAAGTCTTTGATAGTATCAAGTGCCAAACATTAAAATACACAGTTTTTAGGAACATAAATATATTAACTTTAAAATCATCAGAAATCAAATAGTGCGTAATTTATAGAGACTCAAAAATTACCTACTTAAACATCATCATAACCTATAATTCAAATACAAACAGAAAAAAATAAAACCATTACTACTAGGTACCAATTTATATTGTATATAGAAAATCTTAATAAGATTTCATACAAATTATATTATAATTTAAAAGCTTGAAGTAGAAAATGACTATTGATATCTCGACTAATAAAATATCACATTTATTAGAATTAATCAAATAAGAACTCAATAAAAAACTCACTGACTATGATTCTCTTTCAATAATTGGAATTAAAACTTACAATATTTCTATACCTATTGATTATATACTTTCTTCAATTGATAGACCTTTGTCTTTACTTTCTAATTGTCCTAATCAACCTTTAATCATAGAACCTATATTATAAACAGAATAAGAAAATAAATAATCAAAAGTTTCTTTAAAAGATTTTGAGTTTATTAGATGTATAGGTATGGGTGGATTTTCTAAAGTATATATGGTTAGGGAAAAGAGAACAGGATTATTTTATGCTATGAAATTAATAGAAAAAAGTTCTATAATATCATAGAACAAATAAATTATTATATAAAATGAAAGAGATTTAATGTGTAATTTAAATCATCCTTTTATTGTAAAAATTTAATATGCTTTTGAATCAAGAAAATATTTGGTTTTTGTATTAGAATATTGTTCTGGAGGAGAATTGTTTTTCTTGTTAAGAAAAGTAATCACTTCTTTAAATTTAATAGGTGAAGAGGATGAGTGAAGAATAAGCATTTTTTTATTTTGCAGAAATATGTTTGGGTATGAAACACTTACATGATAGAAATATTATTTATAGAGATATTAAACCTGAAAATATTTTAATTGATTTTGATGGTCATGTAAGAATTGCAGATTTTGGACTCTCAAAATAATTAGATTAAGATATTGCCTTTTCATTTTGTGGATCTCCAGAATATATGGCACCTGAAATGTTATTAAAATAGGGACATAATTTACAATTAGATTTATATTGTCTAGGAGCTTTACTTTATGAATTAATAACAGGATTACCTCCTTTCTATTCAAGGAATACTGAAGAAATTTACTAGAGAATATTAAATCAAAAATTGAGTTATCCACCATAATTATAGATGTCCTCACTTCTAAAAGATTTATTGAATGGATTATTAGCTAAAAATCCTAAGAATAGAATTGATAAAATAGAAACTCTATTGAGACACCCTTGGATGACATAATGGGGAGATAAAAATTTATATAAAGAACTATTATCAAAAAGGATAGATCCTCCTTTGAAACCAGATTGTTTCTCATTCAATTTTGATGAAGAAGAATTTGGTTAAGGGGAGGCTGAATTTTTATAGTAAATTAGACCTCTCCAATAAAACATAATGGAGAATTTCCCCAAAGAAACAATACTAAAAAATTTCTATTACAATCCTAAAGAAATAAACTGTGCAGAAAGCACAAGAGGTACTAATTTAAGTACCAAATTATTAGAGGAATAATCAGGAACTTAGAGATAAAAAACAAAAAGATTCAATACATATGACGATGATATATCGAATTATGTAAACGAATAAAAAATTTTCCTATTAAATTAATTAAGATTATAAACTGAGAATGAATAAAAGAGGAAATCTGCATGATTAATTTTTAAATATAAAAACAATTTTAGATTAAAATTTATTATGCCTAATTACTTTAATATTATATATATATGTACTAGATGATCATATTCATTATTGTCTTCTTTATCCTCTTCTTGGTTATTTTTATTATTTTTCTTCAACAACAGGTTCATCAATAGGAATATCAATTTCTAATCCAGCCTTTTCAAGCATTTTTTTGACATCTTAATCTCCTCTAAGATTATCGATATCAATTGAGGATTTCTCAGGAACATAATCCAATCTTCTTTCTCTTTCCTCTTCTTGAATCTAAGTTTTAGATGAATGATTACTTTGAGGGAGATACCCTTAACAGATCCAGTCTAAATTCTCTTTAAAAGATGTGTTGCGAATCCAGCAATTTTATTTCTCAATTTTTTTGATGGCACTTATCCCACTTCAGATAGAATTTTTTTGTTGAAGTGAAAATCTGAGGTGAGTTTCATATAATATTTTTCGATGAGAACTTTGGCTGCCTTCTTAACTGTCTTATTTCTAACTCTTCCCATGATTTAATTTGAAAAAAATTTATATCTTTAATTTATGAAAATAAATCACAGCAAAACAATAAATACAAGTAGATGCAAGCATAAATTCATATACATAATAAGTCATTAAAATGAATATTAAAAAATAGTTTTAAAAAACAATATCAATAAGTAATTGACTTCCAATAATTAATAATTTATATAATATAAAAATATGGGTAATTCTGTTCAGCACAAAAGAAGAAATCCAGCAAATTGTTTAGGTTGTATGGGATAAGATAATGAGGGTTTTGATTTGAATGAACTTCAAATAGGACTAGATGTAGATAAGGCTAGAGGTTTTTTGGAGTATATAATATTTAGGTAGAATCACCTAACAATCAACTGCTTACTTGACTGAAAATGAAAAGAACTTTTTTAAAGCAGCATCAGGTAGAAATTTAGGTTTGATACGCTTTTACCTCAGTAAAGGAATCAACATAAACATATTAGATGAGGATCGGACATCACCATTGTAGATATTGACATAATCTTAATAGACACATAGCTTGTAGATATGGTTCAATATAGGTTGTTGAAGAACTCATTAATAACAATGCTAATTTAGACATTACTGATATGGCAGGCTGGACTCGTATGTTATATATCAATTAATTTAAGCATTACATGTAGCAGCATTTTATTAAAGAGCTTAAGTTTGTTAATTACTATTGAAATCAGGAGCTGATTTTAGAACAAGAAATCGTGATGGGAATTTAGCTTAAGATTTAGTAAGAGATAAAATGACATCAGAAATATTCAAACAATCATAAGATTAATTATAACATAATAGTGAAAGATAAGCTAAGAAATATGATCCAGCTTAACGTCAATATGAAGAATACTTTTAATTACTTAAATTAAAACGATAGTATATAAGAAAATTATTAAAAATAGAAAAAATAATGAATGCAGCAGTTTCTGTGAAAAAGTATCACAAAGTAAAATGGTTAGTCCTAATTCTACTCCAAAAAAGTCTAAATTGAGTGAGAAAGAAAACTTAGGCATTTAAGAATCTTTATCAAAATCTAATATCTCAGAGCAAGAATAAAAAGAAGTAATTGATTTTAATAAAGAACTTGGATCAAAAATAAATAGGAATTTAATTTCTCCTTGCAATTCAATTCCTCGATTCTTTGATGATATGGTACTTAATTATTATAGATTATTAAGGTTTCGTTAGGTTAATTAGTTTTATGGTAAAATAAATCTAGAGAGAGAACTACTTTTACTGAATAGGTAAAATTTATTAAACATGATTATAATACAGAGAATCTTGCTATAGATTTATTTAATCATTCATACTTTATGGGAATATCATATATGATTTCTACTTAAATTATTAGACCTACTCCTTAATCAATTATCAATTGGTTATTTCATAATATTGAATAAAAAAATAAAATCTAAATATCTAAGTAAATCTTTATTTAATGATTTATAGATTATTGACAAATTTGAATTTGTAAGAATAATATTAAATTTTAAAATTATTTGTGGATAGAGTTGTTATAAATCAAAATTTAATTAATTCCTTACATAATTTATTTAATAAATTATTAATTTAAAATGATCCATATTTACTTGATATTTTAGTGAAAGAATTTAGTAGAAGATATTATGAATTGAATTTCAATTCTAAAAGTTAATAATTTCCCTTTAAATCTGAAGATTCTTTACATATGTTTTGTTTTGCACTTGTAATACTTGATATTGAAAGTACAAAATATGATAAAGATAATGCATTCAAAAACTTTTTTTAAAACATTTAAACCATTAATAATGGTGATAATTTTAACTCTAAATTCATTTCTGAAATAATTGAATAATTATAATCTAAACCTATTGTAAATTTATTGGATTAATCAATTGATGAATAATTAAGTAATAAATTAAGCACTTATTGTAATCCTATAAATTTAATTAAACAAAAACAAGTATTATTTTTGATATTATTTAGACTCACAATGTTAATTGGAAATTATATTCAATAGGTGATGCATATCTACTAACTTCTGATGGATATTTAAAGATATTTGAGAAATCTAATAGTTAAATACAAAAATAGAATAATGAAATACTAATAACAGGTAAATAGAACAAATAGTTGTTGTATGTTATATGCAAAGATGAATAAACATTTATATTTAAATAGAGAAACATGAAATTTAAACTAACAAATTTAAATGATACTTTTTGATCTATATTTATATGATAACAATTTAAATTAATATAATATTACACGAATTTAATTAAATTAATTAGAAATAGAAAGAATAGAAAAAAATATAATATATATAATTAAAAAACGAATATATGATAATAATAGTATTGATTAGTGCTATATTTTGTGCTGAAGTAAAATTGAAAGTGGAATCATCACCTAAAGATATAAGGAGAATAAATGGAAGAGCTGAATTTGATGGTAAGATTTAAAAATTTAATTAGTAATATAGCATAGGAATATGAAACATCATGTCAATGTGAATCTACTACTACACAACTTCATGTTGGTGAAACCTTTTGTGATCCTACTAAAGTTTAATTACATTAAGACTTTGCAGGAGATGATGGCAAAACAGCCTCTTTTGAATAAATTAGACATTTAATTGGACCTCTTAATGAATTATAATTTGGAGATCCTAACAGCTATCATTTTTCATGTTTAGATGGAAGAAATGAATAAGGTGTATTAGGAACTCCTGGAGGTGATTCTGGTGAATTCTTGTTAGCTTTATAAGTATATGAATAAACAATTAATACACCATTGACTTAAGATACTGTTGATAGCATTTTAAGCAATTACTTATAGTATATGAAATAAGATGGATTTTATATGTGTACAGATGATGATGCTATAAGACATTTGGAAAAAGAATTAGGTATGACTTTGACAGTTGATGCCTTAATTGATCCTCCTAATTCAGTATATATTATTTAATATGTTAGTTTAAAGATGATCTTTTAACATCACTTTTAAAACCAGAAAATACAGGTTGTATGCATTTAAAGAGTATTTTAAAGAATCCTGAAAGTTATGATATGAGACCTGATTTAGTGAGATATTTTCTTAGAAGTTATTTCACAATATTATGGAATAAGAGTAATCCTTTACATCATAAATTGATACTTGAAGTTATGGCAGGTAGACATGAAGAGAGAGCATTTCTTGAAGTTAGAATAAATGAAGCTTGTATAAGATAAAATATGGCACCACTTTTGAGACCAAAAAGAAGAATTACATTGGCAAGTGTTCCTTAAGGACCAACAACAACTACATTCCATGAAGGTGGAGCTACTGAAATATTTTAAGCATATGTTAATCACATAGATGCTGCATCAATTAGAAGAAAGGTATTATTCTTTAAATAATAATAAAAGGAACTATCAAAATTCTTTGCTGAGAATTCAAATCATAATGGAGTTCATTTTGAAATTGATGTTATGCATCATAGATTAAATAAAAAAGGATTAATGTATTTAGAAATTACTGGATAAAAAATTGCTAGATATTTACCATTTTATACTGTTACAATAGTTTGATAGATTATAAATTATATTTAAATACATTATCTCATTATATTTCTTTTTCTATTTAAGTAAAATAATCAGTAATTTTTTCATTCTATAATAATCCATTTTATTATTGAATGTTAGTTTTGAATATTTTTATATCTGGAGAATTTCTAGCTAGAGTTTATTTTAATTTACAAATAATTTTAATTGTATCATCTGAGTTATTAGACCATAAAATTTATATTTTAGAAAACTTAGTTATTAATTCTAATAATTTAACCATCACTCTTGTATTAGAACTAAAATGTTATGATTATCTTGATAATGATCCTAAACAAAAAGGAATATTATCAGAATATTCTATTAATAAAAATGGATGATCAAATGAATTCATTTTTTATAATTATTAATCCAATCTATTTTAATTTATTGATTCAATTAGATCTCCTGTTTCTACAGATTTTCTTTCTATAGCACAATTATTACTTAAAACAATATCTCCTACTTTTAACATAACAGGAGTTAATTAAAATCCATGAAAATATAATTTAGGTGGAACATCACATCTAAATTCTCTATAATCTACAAATATACTAGGTTGAATATCTTTTAATTAAAAAAATTCTTCTCCTTTTCCTTATCTAGAATTTTGATGTTACTATTGCATATCCAATTTATGTATTGCATCTTCAGGTTTTTCAAAAGATCTAGAAAAGTCTTTAGAATGTTCAATTATTTATTCAAATGCAAATTCTTCATCCATTTTCTCTTTATAATATTACCAAAATTCAACACATTCATTTTACATTAATAAAATAGTTTCAACATAATTTTGATTAATTAAAAGTTCCTTTAAAAAAGAATGATTTGGTTCCATCATTATAATATAATCTGGTTTATAAGTTTATTTAAATGTATATCTCTGACAATCATCATTCATATTATTAACTACAATTGTCATTTTTGGTATAATTGTATCTTCTTCAAATTAAATAACAATTCCATCTTTATTGACTTTATGTCCACTTTAATATAAATCAAATTATAACAATTCTTATGGTAATAATTAATATGTTTATTATTTTAAAACTTAAGATTTTTAAAGTAATACTTATTCCTCTTATTATAAAACATGTTCAAATAATTATTCTAATTCTTAATAGAGTAAATAATTTAATAAACTTTCCTCTTCTTATTTAATTTGTTTTGTTTATTTAATTAATTTATTATTATGCTTTAATACTATCTTAGATTTTCTCTCTTATACAATTTATTAAGATTATTATTAATCAGAATTATTATTCAAAAATTTATCAATAGATTTACATGATTTTTATTCTAAAATTCTTCTTAAAAAATTAAATTGATTGACATAATTATTTTTATCTTTCATTCTGTATGTAGAAACAAGAAATTATTAAATCTAAGTTACATTTTCATTATTTTAAACCCAAATCCAAATTCTTAAATTTTCATTTTGAGACTAATTTTATTATGAAATTTTATCTAATATTTTAGTGAGTTATAAATATTTAGATTATATTTCAATTTTAAAATCAATTTTAGTGTTGATTTCTTTAATAACTTCTTCTCCATTCTATTTAATAAATTTATATTTAATAGGATCCTGTATGTTTACAAATTAATATACTCTCTCTTGTGCTAATTTTTATAATTTAATTACTAATCCTTCAATTTCAGGTTAAGATATATACCAAATTGAATCTATTGGAGCATCATTGATTATTTATGTTAATGTAAAATAAAATTAATATGCTGATTGATTAATTAATGCAAATAATAATTTTCTGAGTTAAAATATATCTAAAAATATTTATTATTAAATAAGATCTATTTTAAATGATTGTCTTTAAATAAGAGCCTTTAGTTTTCTCCAATTCTATTGTATAACCATATCACTTGTTAAATAGGATGTACCACATTATCCATTAACTGCTTAAATACATTATTTAATAAGGGAAATAATAATATCTTAAATATCTTTAATAGTTTTAGTTAAATTAATTTTGATTTCACTCCATTTAAATGGATGTTACTTTAAACAATTAACAATTTCAGCTCTATTCATAGGCCAAGGAATTATATTATTTAGATAGAAATTCTTGAGAATAATAGGTGTGTTTTATTGTAATTGTAGTATTGAAGGTTGATTAGTAAAAGCAAGAAGAAATAATTCAGGTTTAACTATTTTAATAAAATTAGTGATCCAACTTTCATAATCATATTTTGATTTGATTTAATGAACTTGTTGTATAATTAAATGAGTAATAATGAAGGGTGATAATGTGTTGGTTAGTAAATCTTACATTAAGATTTAAGGAGTAATAGAAAAAATTCCACCTTATTTATAAAAAGTCGCTCTTTTATCAGATGGTAATTTCGTCAAGACAACAACAGAGAGAGCATATTCTTTGTTATTATTTAGTTAATTTTAGGTAACAAAATAGTTAAGCTATGTATCAATAAAATCTATTTCTTAATTAGAGTAATTGAGGAGAATGATTACAGATTTGCTTTTTTCAAGAAAGTATGTTAGAAACAAAGATGTCAAATTGGCAATTGATAATCCTGATGTTAATATCATTAAACCACCATTTGGAAAGGATTTTATGGAGTCAACTACATTATGTGTAATTTAGGACCAGATTTCTCGATTCATGTATTTAATTTATTAATTAAAGACTTAAATTATTTATGAAACTAAATTATTTTATTATATAATGGACCATGCACGGATTCTGAATTTTCTAAACTCTTTATAGAATTAAGATAGTACTTAATAGATTGATAATACACAATCTTCTTAGGAATCATTGAAGACCTTATATGAGAAAATCACAAAAGATTATTCATTATAAAGAGCTCGAGTAATATAATGATAAAATTAAATATATTAGACTTTAAGTAGAGAAGAAAGGTTGGCGAATCATTTGACATCAAATTCTCTATCATATGGTGAAATTGTAAGTAATTTGTTAAATTGTAAAGGATTTTATATCTTTATCACTGGTATTCCAATGTGTATCACCTAAAAAAGGTGGAGTCTTTTATGATTTAGGTAGTGGTATTGGTAAGAGTGTGATAGCTGCATCATTAATGCATCAATTTAATATTTGTAAAGGAATTGAATTTTTACATTCTTTACATGAATAGGCTTGTAAATTAAAAGAAGAAGTTGAAAAATAGAAATGTATTATTGAATAAGAAATGGAATAAATTGGTATTTATGATTATTAATTACCTAAAATTGAATTTATAAATGGAGATGTACGAGAAGTATTATTTAATTTACGAAATTAAGTTAGATTGGACTGATGGTACCTTCTTATTTGCTTCAACAACTTGTTTTGATCCAGATCTAATGAAGCAGCTAAGTAAAAAAGCTGCAGATTTGAAGGAAGGATCTTACTTCATTACTGTTACTAAAACACTTGAACCTTAGAGTAGCTGGGATCTTATTAAATCTATTAAAGTGCAATTGTCATGGGGGTTGGCTACAATTCACATTTAATAAAAGAAAATGATTTAGGTTTAATAATAATAAATATAATTATGAAATAATCTCATTCTAAAAAGAATCTAACAAGCAGTCTATATATTGCTAATAATTAACATACAGAATTAATTGATTATCTCAAATAAGAAAATAAACAATTAACTGAATAATTGAATGAATTAAAGGGTTTACTTTAATTAAATAAAAAGGCATTGAGAATTATGACACCTCAAAATAATGATGAATAAAATAAAGCTATATTAATGGTATTGAAAAATTTGTAAGAAGAAAATGCTAAATTGCATAATTAAATTGATAAACTTATTGAAGAAAGGAATCAAGCATAAAATTAAGTATTAATAAATTAATAAATCACTGAAGAAGCTTAACGACATGAAAAAGAATTAATTTTATCATTATAGAATAAAATCTAAACATTATAAAATAATCTCAATAAAACTGAATAACAATTAAGTAAAATGGAATAATTAAAACCTGAATATGATGAAATTTCAGGTATTGTTATAAAATACAAAGAAATATGTGAACCTGATAAAATTGCTATTAAATTTCATAATCAAATTGAAATGTTAACATCTCAATTAATATAATAAATCAAAAAGAATAAAATTATAGAGGCTGAAAAATAAAAACTATAAGGATTTAATTTAGTATTATATTTTCACTATTTATCTAGAAATTAATGAGTAACTTAGTTCAAATGAAAAATACAGCTATGACATATCATGGTAATAAACTAATTATTTAATAATAATAAGTTCAATAAGGACCTGAATAATTGATTAAATGTAATTAAAAATATTATATATCTTAGTTTAAAATAATTTGTTAAATGTTATGAACAAAGAAGAAAATGATAATTCATCATAAAATGATAACAATTCATCAGTTGGTAGTTCACCTTTGATGTCTCCTTTACCATTAAAATAAGAGAATTAAATAGTCAAATAAATGAAGGAAATTCCTAAATTAGATCTCACAAAGGCAAAATAAATATAAGAGATCAATGCTAAAAGATAAATTTAATAAATGCAAGATATTAAAAAGTAAATAGATCCTAATATTGTTGAAAAAATTAATAAATATGAGAGAATGATAGAAGAATTAAGAAAGAACTATTAAAGAGAAATGTTATTAAATAAGACTCTTGAGACAGCAAATAATGAATTATAAAGAAATTGTGAAGATTTAGAAGTATTTTTATTTATTATAATTTAGAGTTAAATATAAATACTTATAAATTCAAATTTAAGACATCAAGAAAAATTATAGAAAATCAATAAACAATATTATTTTCTATAATAATTTTACATTAATAATAAAGATTAAATAACTACAACTTAAAGTCATAATAGAAGATTTTCTTAAAGTCCTACAGAATTCTCTTAAGAAATGATTTTAGATACTTCTTTTATTGATGCAAATGAAGCAATAATTTCAAATGAAATTCAAGAATAAAAATATGTCTAATAATAAATTTTACAATAATAACAATAATAATAATAATAATAAATATAATAATAAAATTTCTATACATATTATACACCTATTAATTTAGAGGATTCAAAAAAGTTTTTATTAAGTTTAGCTGAATTAATTTATTGTGGATTGTAAGAAAAGATAGAATAATTATAAGAATAGTAATCAAATTGTTAAGAAAAAAAAGAATAAAGATTTAGATCTGTAAGTGATATAATAGATTATCAACACATAGGACTTTAAAAATATAATTATTTTTAGTAATTATGATATATTTATTTCTCTTACAAATAATTATTATATATATGATGATTTAATATTAAATTACTTAATCATTTCTTTCTATAAATTGTTATTTCTTATTATTTAAAATATCTTCTATCATCTTCATCTACTAATATCAAATTTAATATGTATTTAACACTAAATTTACCACTTACATTTTTAACAGATGGTGTTATATCTACACCACTTAAATATAATCTAATTGGAATCACTTCTCCTTTCTAAGGACATCCATCCATTAATTCATATTTGACTAATGTCTCATTATCTGTCTATTATTAAGGTCCTTATCCATATTATTCTTTTCTAATCACTGCCAATTCCATATATTTGATTTTGATTTTCACTAAATAGAAATTCACTTTTCCTGTAACAACATCTCTTAAATGATATCTACTCTTAAAATATTCAAAATCAATATGTAAACATTCTTCAATACCAACCTATTAAGTTAATATGAATTCAATACTTCTAATTTTAATGAAGTTTATGGTTAATCCTCTAATTCTGGTTGTGGAATCAAAACAGCAAAGTCTATTTCTTTCTATACTTTTCCATAACTTCTAGTCATATACACTTTTAAATAATATCTTAATCTAACTGTGTTTCCATAATAACTTTCATATTGTTTCTCAAACTTCTAAAATTAAAATTTATATGTTTTGTCCTCAAACATTAAACCTTATGGCTCTAATTCTCTTGACATTGACATAAAATCTGAACTTTATTTTTGATCATTAAGAATTTCTTTTATTCATAAATGTATAATTCTTACCAATTCTTCCAATTAATTCAACTCGAATTCCCATATGTTCTATTTTTTTTTATTTGTTCATTTTTACTTCAATAACTCCAGAAATATCATCATCACCCTATTTTATATAATTAATTCAATATCAATTACAGAATAGACAGGTAATCTTAAAGCCCCTAATTATTTATCCTAAAATCTAGTGTGTTTACGTGTCTCAATACCATCCAAAGTCACTTCAATTAGAGGTTAACCTTAAACCATATTCAAAAGAGATGCCTATAAAATGTGGAATTGAAATCTTTACCATTGTATGCTAATTAATAAATTAATTATATAAAATTTTAATCTATAATCACTAATTCTAATCATAAGTAAGCATCTTTATAATCCATTATATAATACTTTTAAAATGTTACGATATTATAATTTGAATGCCAATTATCTTGATGTTTATCCCCACTTATTTTTATATATAATAAACTTACAATATTTCTTGCGAATTCATCAATCTAATTATTTAATAGTAATTCCACTATTTAGATCTTATTTCTCTTTACAGCCACATGTAGACCTGTCTCTTGTAACTATCCTATTAAATTATAATCATTACTCTAGTTCTTTATTATAATAAATGAGGGTATTTCTTTATCATTTATTTGAGTTCATCTACATTTCCATCTTAGATCATTTGAAAATACTATTCACTCAAAGGATCTAATTTTGTTATTAACTTCATTTATTAACTACTATACATTCAAGCTCATTCGATTCATTTTATTATTCAAAAATCTTACTTTCTCTAAAGATTATTCATTTATTATCTTATCTTATGAGATAAATGGTTAGTGCAAGGGAACCTTATAAGTTCTATCCTTTTTATTCGGATTACTTAAAATTGTAAAAGTTTATTTAGGTGGTAATTACAAATCATGTCTAGCTGTTTGAGGTTCTAATAAATGTTCGAAGTGGAAATGATTATAAAGAGAAAAATGACTTGAAAATGATTAAACACTATTTTAAGCAATTTTATTCAAGTCTGCTAAATCTTTCTTTAATAAATAATCAGCCTTCAAAAGTTATTCTTATTTTCTTTTTGATTGTACCTCATTAAACTTTTTTAAGAACCCTTTATCTTTCTCAAACAAGTTACTGGCCTTTATTTCTGAAATATTGTTATAATGAAGTTAGCTAGTTTCCTTTCTATCTGTTAATGATGTCATATAATTGTCTGATGTATTCTCGTTTTTTAAGTATTAAAATATATCATAGTCATCTTGTAATTCTTTAAAATATTTAATTATGATACTTTTTCTTCTTGAACTTAACTTCAATGATCTTGAAGTAGTATGTCTCTTTTTAGGAAACTAATCATCAGGAACAGTATATAATTTTAATTTCAGATTTTTTGAACATGTTAGCATGTATAATTTTATTTAATTTAATATATGATTTATTATTTATCTAAATATTAATTAAGATAGATTCATGTATATAAGAATGATTTAAATATCAGTTATATATTAATAATTAAATCATTCTTACATATTTTAACTAAAATAAATTCTATTTGTTTTTAGCAAAAGAATATTTCTTACTTTTAAATTATGATTAAATAAGTAAGATTGGAAAGTTGAATTCATATTTAAATAAAATTAGAAGACTACAATAGATATGAAAATTTTGATTTTTAAAACATAATAAAGATAATTGATTTCATAAAAAAAATAATTTGAAATATAATGAATAAATAACATATTCCAGCAAAAGCATAAGAAAAAATATTTGCTATGATACTGAAACGACCAGAAAATTTAGTCTGTGCTGATTGTGCAACTAAAGGTCCTAGATGGGTTAGCTTGGATTATGGTGTATTTATTTGTATGGATTGTGCAGGTAAATAATTAATATTTATATATTTTAGGTGCTCACAGAACTTTAGGTCCCAGTGTCACAAGAGTAAGATCAACCAATATTGATGGATGGTATTAGGAAAATATTGATATTATGGAATCTATTGGAAATGCTGCAGCAAATTCTTATTGGGAAAATACTATGCCTAAGAACTATGTGTAAAAGTTTTTATTAAATTATTTTAGTAAACCCACTATTAATACAGGATTAGATTCATTAATTCGTTTTGTTTAAGAGAAATATGTCAAAAAGAAATTTATACCTTAATAATAATGTTTAGATCCAAAATAACAATATATGTTAACTAAAACGTATTCAAATTTTCTAAGAATTTAGTACAGTTAAACCATTCTACTTTCGAGTTGAAACCAAATAAGAAGAACCTAAGGTGAAACTAGGTGATTTAATTGATTTTAATGAGCAATTTGACGATTTTGGTGTTAAGGAAACTAAAATTGAAATTGTTCATGGAAATAATACTTAATATGGAACTACTCATTCTCTATCACCAGAAAAAGATTAGACAGACTTTCCTTAAACAAAATAACAAGCAAATCATGTTATGCATTCATTACCATCCTTAGATATATTAAATCTCTATAAGCCAGATTAATAATAAAAATAATAAATGCAATCATAATAAACAATTCCTCAAAAGAATGCTAATTATGCTTACTTGCAGAATTTAGGATAGTAATAATAATAATATAATTATCAGTAATTCTAAAATAACAATGTATATTTTAATTAACAATAATAATAATAATAATAATAATAATAATAATTTTAGCAAAATTTATTTCAATAGCAAACACCTAATTTCATTTAATAATAATAATATTAATAATAGTAATAATAATAATAATATAAATAAAACGAACCCATAAATATTATGGACTTGTATCATAGATGAAAATATATAAAAAGCATCAATTAATTAAAGCAATCATTTATTTATTATATATATATATATTGATTCCTCTATCATCATTCAATTGATCTGATATTAGAAAATTATCATTTTTGAGATATTACTAACAATATTTTGCACATTATTCTTTTTATAATTTCACAATTTTTTATATTATTATGTAAAATTAGTGGAACACATGTAGATTAGTTTATTTAAAGAGAATTTATGAATTATCTAATATAATTCTTTCTACATTATTAACATCAAATCTTAATGTAAAACAATTAAGCTAACTTTTCTATTTCTTTAAATATAAAAATTATTACTAATGATATCATCTAAGAGCATAAAATAATAGTAATAAATTTGTTATACTTTTACTAATAATTTCTTGAAATGATTGAGGTTATGATAAATTTTTGTTAAGTGTATGAGTTTCATAAGTATTTAGTATGGTTTTCTTTATGCAATTCTTAATTTAATAGTAAATACACAAAATTTATAAAATCTAGTTTTATGAGTTTTGAACCTTATTAAGAAACGAAAAAGAATGTTAAAGTTGCACCAATTAAAATAGTGTAAAATTAAAATGAGATGAATGTCTCTTAAAATCAGAATCCCACATATCCTCAACTTAATTTACAATTCCCATTTCAAAACAGATGCACAAATTATAAATAATTTACTCCTGCTGTTACGATTCCATTAAGCTTTTTACAACAACTCATTTAATAAGCCTAGTCGAATAAGATATTAAATCAACTGATAGAACCCAAAATACCACTTGTAAAACAAGAATAATCAGAAGCTGTTAATAACCTCATTACATAAATATAATATTAAAAATTAGAAAATATTAAACATCAAGATGGTAATGCCTATGCTTATAATTAGAAGATACACAAATTAAAATGTTTTTGATAAAAAGTTAAATGAAATTTATAATTGAAGATTTTGTATCTAAGGAAAGAGTGCAACTCTATTTTGCTGAAAATGAAAATTTATTACCTCATTTCTGGAAGTGGATTAAATCTATTGACTTAAAAGGTTTAGAAGAAATGTTAATTTTGTGTTACACAAACCCTTCAAATACAAAAAAAATTTAGGATATTTTTAAATAACTTTTTCAAACATTATCAATTGAGTATTACTAAAATCATGCTTATGCTCAAATTTTGAGATCCAATCTCTAAGATAAAATTAGATATTTATCTGCAATAGGAGATATCTTAAATAAAATTGTAAAACCATAAGATTATTTCTATTTTAATAATGCATGATAGATAAAGAATTTTCTTATCATAATAAATATATTAAATATCATTTTCCTTACTATTTTTCCTCCTCCTCCTCACTAATTGGGAGCAAAGGATTTGATATCTAAATTTCGTATTTTCCTCTTCTCTAAAAAATTAATCCATCCATAAAATTACATAATCATTACTGCCTTATTAATTTAAAGTGATGAGAACATCTCTCAATTGGTTTTGATTGATTCTTTATTCATCTTAGCTACAATAAGGTTTATGAGAAGTTGATTTAAAATAAGAAGTGCTTTGTGCTGCAGCATTTAATTGTAAATCCCAAATCTCAATCATATCTATCTATCAATATAACTAAAATATACATTCAGTAAATGAATATTATTTGGTATTATTGGTCCACTCTAAAAGGTCTTATCATCATCCATTAATCTACTTGCTTACAATTACTTTCCATCTATCCAAATTCTGTGATGATCATATCCACTACCACCAATTCCTAAACCTGGTTATTTTGGTCCTTATTTAAATTGACTATGAAGAGTTTGACTCTATTTTTTAGTTATGATGGGTATTAATAAAGCAAATTTACTTTATTGTTAGTCATTAGTTGAGAATATTTTAAATTTTGGATGAACAGAAAATATAAAAGAACCCTTATTCCCTGATATATCAGGTGAAACTTTCCATTGAGAAGATGAAAAATAACCAAAAGTGTATTTCTCTATTTTATCTGTATCTTTATCTTTTTAATGATGTCTAAATAGTATAACATTAGGTCCTTTTGTTTATAAGAGACTGTTTCCAAGAATATTGAAATTATAAGGTTATCCACTTTCAGATTCATATTTGTATACTTGATTAATAGCTACACATTTATAGAACCAAGGAACACTTAGATTAAGAAGAGCTTTATTAGAATTTATTAAAATATCATACCAATCAATTATTTATTCATTAATTCACTAGATTCCATTTTAGGCAATTTATTTTTAAGAGTCTTATTAATAAACTTACCTGCTATATAATTCTTAACAATTTTGGAAATTTGTGGAGTTTCTTATTTAATTTTATCATTAAAGATTTTATAATTAAGAATAGAATGATCTAACAATATAAAAATAATTACCTTCAAAAATATTATTGACTAATAAAATAGGAGCTTAATCATCATCATGACATAAAATATCACCTTTATCACTTTACATATTTATTAGTTCCTATTTTATTTTATGTTTTTACTTTGAATAATTTTACACCATTAGAATAACTAATAGATATTTTATAAATATTATTAAAATTGAAAGTTTCCTTATGCATAATCTCAGAATTAGAAAGAGATACCAAAATAAATAAAATATAGATATCTAAGTTCTTTAATTAACTCTATAATTTCATAGAGGATCTTGTAAATAAGTCAACTATACTCTTAAGAATATAAATTACCTACTGTTAGGAATGTATTTAAGTCAACATAATTTTAACCCCCATAATTTCTCATAAAAATGTATAATTTTTACGCAAAAACAGGGTTTTCAGTAAAGTATGTCTTGAAACCTTCAAAACTAAAATATTGATCTGTTTTCCTTTAATAAATTTTGCAAATACCCTGGTTTTTATTGGGTCATTTTAGAAAACCGTTTGATTGCATAATCGTAATCATTCTATGAGAACCCAATTTTCTCTTTAATTTCTTTTTCTCTTGATCCACATCCCCCCATAAAAAAAACAATAATTAATTTATAATATATTTGATACTAATTGTAAATCGATTAATTAATTAGAGTAATCATCATTAAAATTAATAGAGTGTACTCTATGCTAATGATGAACATCCATCATCCTCTTACTCTGGTATGGCTATTAAATAATATTTTTAAATGATTACCATTCATATATGAATTCACTGAGTTTTGTTTTGCTTCTTATGAGGCTTATTTGATTTCCATTTGGATTGATGCAAAAGCCTTTTATAAATCATTCCTTCCTGAGGTCATACTAAAATCAGTATAACATATAGGTTATTTATTTTCAACTGATTTTGTTAATTTCTAATCTAATTCATGAAACTAATTTTATTCTGGTTTAAAGGATTATGTAATTTATTAGTGTTAATGAATTTAATATTATTCTGGAAGTGCTTTTAATTTCTCTCTAGATACTAACCTTCTTTTCTTGCTATAATATAAAAATTACATTTAAAGAAGATTCCCTTTATTGTTATGGTTATTCAAAAGCATCAGCCCAATTAAATTATTTAGTGTTCGTACCTGCACTTGATACTTTTTATTTGCTACTATTTCTTGATTACATTTCTCCTGTTATTGTAGGTCTCCCAGAACTTCCAATTTATTCTTATCTTGCAATTATGATCTTTTTATCAATATGAATAGGAGGTTTAGCTTATTTTTAAGGACTTTTCTAAAAAAATAAATCTAAATGATTGTTACAATTTAATGCAATTATTATTAATTCTATGTGAGGTTTAATGATGCTTTAGATGAATTCTAACTTGTTTTAATTAACTTCTGTTCCTGATTTTAATGTTCAATATTATTCGCATTGATTATCAATCTTTATTTTTGAGTGCCAGAAAAAAGTGGCTTTCTTGGAGGTAAAGGTGATTTGACAGTTGATAGGGGTTGTCCAGAACCAGGTCTTTTTCTTTCTACTTCTTCAACTGCTTATTTAAATAAATCAACATCAGATTTCATTCTACCATTAGACATTTGCCTTTTCATAATTTACAATTTTGTATATATTTATAAAATAATAATTAACTATTTGGATTCTATTAATATTATTTTATAATTGGACAATCTACTTCTACTTAGATGAATTTAGAAGTATTCATTAAATAAGAAGATCTTAAATCAAAAATTTAAAGTTTTTTTAATATATTTTTAACTTACTATAAAAAATAAACATTTAATATATTCACATTATGATTTATTTAATGAAATTAATAATACTAATCACACATATTGGTATGATTGCCAGATATTGCATTTATTTATTTTAATCTTTATTTGGATCATTCAAAACAAGTGTCATTTAAGTTAAACTGAAGATACAAATAACTAAAATAATGCATGGCCAAATCACAGTTATATTACAGTCGGTTATTAGGACAATAATATTGTAAAATAATGTAAAGATAAGTAAAGATGTTACCCAAAACCAATTAAAATTGAATTGTAATTGAATTAGTGTAGCAACCTCTGTGTAAATAATAGCAATATAGTATAGAATAACTACAGCTACCCATTTCTTAGATCCTTAATTATCATCACATAATCCAGGAATGATAAAAATCAAAAATGATAATAGCATTATTTCCCATGCAAACAATGGAAATGCAATCAGAATAGAATTCTAATTAATAATTTCATCCAATTGCAAACATATTAGTAGAACAAAAATTGGTAGGAGTCCAAATGTAGAGTGTTAGGCTATTCCTAAGAACACTTTGGCTATTCTTGGGTATTACTATTAAGCTAGTAAAATAAATATTCAGTACATAACCATATAGTAGTCAAGATCCATATAATAGTATCGCAAATAATGAAAATTATTGCAATATAAATCCATTATATCTAGTACTCTATCTTGAGAGCCAGCATTTGCAATATTAAATATATTGAAAATGCTATAGATATGCGTATACACTTAAATTACATCTCATCAGACCTTCTAACAATTTCAGACTCTGATCCTTGATATTCATCTCGATAATTATCATCCATTATTCGTTTTTGTAATAAAATATATTATTATTTATTTATAAAGTTTTCAATCCAAATTATTCATTACATCCATATTTCCTACTATTTCTCGCTCTCCAAATATTATCAGTTTTTTTAAATCTTAATGCAATTACAAAATCACTCCTCAGGCTATTTTTAATTAAATACATAATGATAAAAAAACTGAAATTATATACTTCACCAATTACTAATTTTTATTTAAATTGTACTTAGATCATCAACTTTCAACAGGATTCTCATAAAAATCGAAATTGAAGAGTTCATAAACATAATCCCAATACAAAAAATACAATTTTATTATTTTTTAATAACTTGAATAATAATATGCAATAAACAAAAAATAAATAACAAATCACTTCACTTAAGTTTTCCCAATTCAATATCTCTCTTGCAAACTGGACAATGCTTTTCTCTTGATAACCATTCTGAAATACATTCCTTATGAAACACATGTCCACATTCTAATTGAATTTCTACAGGACTTCCACTATCTTCTAAACATATTGTGCAACTACAATATTAGACTATTATGATCATACCAATCATTTGTTTAATTTTTAATTGTACATTACTTAAGAAGCACTTAGATTTAATGTTCTAATAACCCTCTACTAACAAAACCCATTTTCTCTTATAGTTCTTATAATTACTCATAACTCATTTCATCTAAGTCAACATTATTTTACATTCTATAAAATATAAATGTATATTTTACTAGATTAATCGATTTTAAAATTCCATTTCTTCTTGTTATTAAAGCATTAAGGCAAAATGAAGAGATTTCTCTTCTTCACTCATTTCTTATTTTAATTCTTATTATGGTATTTCAACTGAAATTATTTCTTGATTTTCTTCCTCGGTTTATAGGGTTTGTTGTCCTTTTAAGAGTGATTCTAATTCTTAAATTCTATCCTTTAATTCAATAATAGTATTTTTTAAGTCATCATTCTCTTGGCGCAATTCATTTATTAAATCAGATTTAGATTAATGTTTTTATTAAGATCTTTAAACATGTTAAGTAGGCACTTTGAATAATTTATCAAAGATTTCTTTTTATTCTGTGCTTGATTTTAATTAGCTAAGCTTAATAGGACAGTCCATCTCTAAAATGTTTTAACAATAAATTTATTAATAATTTAATAAAATACTCATTTATAGCTTTAAATTGTATGAATTAATGATTTCATTAATTAAGAATCAAATTTCATTACACTGAAATAAGTTAATCAATATATTATAATAATAATGAATTATAAAACCTTTTTTATGACTTCATTTTTATATTATTTAAATCAATAAATTATATTTTACATAAAATTTAAATAGAATTAAAATATTTAGAAAAATTGATAAATGAAATATATATATATATAAATTAGTTTCATTACATTGATAAATTTTTTTTGGCTTTTCTTACATCATTATAAAATACATCTTTTGGAAACCTTTTAGTAGATTTTACTTGATTATATTGAAAACCAAATGAAAACTTCATATAATCTTCTTCTTTAGCTAAATGAATTTAACTATTATATTAAATTAGATTTTTAATACTCAGATTTGATTAAATTAAAATCTTATATTTATTAAAATATTGATTTCTTTAATTAGTTAGGATTAGTATTCCTTCTTAATTCATTTATTTTACTTTACTAATAATCTAATTAAGATTAATCATCTAGAGTAGAGTCTTAATTATTAGTTTAAGCATTAATTTCTATAAATAAGTTAGATCAAAAATACTTAGATAATTATTAGCTTTAATTGATATTTATGGTTTGATATCAGGTCTAAAGAAGTATTTATTGTGATTATCCTAGATATCTCTTTACACTATATAATATTTAAATAAAAAACCTTCCTTAATTCAATTTAATTGTTCTGAGTCTATTAGCCTTACTTGTTGAAATCTTATCTAGAGTATTCTAATTATTTCTATGGATATCAATCTTATCTATATTAAGATTAATTTAATTTACTTAATATTACAGATATTACTTTTGGTTAGATTCTCTTATTCAAATCAATTGATCTGTCAACTTCTGTTTTTATTCTTGAATGAGAATTTTGAGTCTTTTAAGACCTATTCAACTCATTAACATCAATAGATGTTTATAAATAATGATTTGGTTTTATCTAATAGTCTATAATTAAGAATTGATGAAAAACTTTGAAGGAGATTAATGTCTTTGGATTGGTTAGAATTCTTATGTGTTAGATTTTGATATAATTTATGAGGTGAATCTCTGCCTCTACACTTATGAGCACTCTATGTACTCCTATTATCTTTGCTTATTACTAAATCATGAGAATGTTTTTATTACATAATAATAATTAAAAATTCACTATTCTTATTTAAGAAAAAAAATGTAAATATTTATTGAAAAAATAAATAACTTTTAAATATATAATGAATTTAGAGGAACGTCCAAATTTGTTTATCTTATATCCCTATCCATTCAATCGAGATGCTAAGTATAAGTATGTTGAAATTAATTATTCGCCTTCATTTAGTGAGTATAGATTTCACTCAATTTTATAAGAATCATGAAATGCATGATGGAAACAATACCAATATTTAATAATGACAGAAATCCAGCATAACCAGGATTTATACCTCTTATTGATTAAGTATTAATTATATTAAAATAGCCATTGCATCTATAACATAATGATTAATATCAAAACCAATACTAAAAAAAGTATCAAGAGTTGACCTCAAAAAATAAAGTGCTTGTAATTATTTTTATAGATTCAGCACTTCCCAAAACCCAAAAGTTAGTCAAAATATTGTAATGTTTGTAAATAACATTATGAAGATTATTTAGATGTATTATTTCACTTGAAAATTAGCATATTAAATCAAAAATACACAAAACATAATTTACAAAAAATCATTATATCAAAAAAATTATGTCATAAGCTAAAGAAGTCAAAGAAAAAGTCGTACAAACAATTGAATAGCAAGAATCTACTGAACTTTAACCTAAGAAAATTAAAAAAACTAAACTTTGTTGATTATTTATAATTATTACTCAATCCCTATAATTTTCTCATTAGAATATCTTCAGAAATCTTAAAATTAAGTATAAGATTTCTCATTTTAATTATAATCTATTATATCAATCTTAATATTGAAATATAATCTTATTTATAAGAAATAATTACATAATAAGGTATAAATTAATACTAAAAACACTTAATACTCTTTAAATATTGGAAATTATTATATATCTTCCAAATCAAAATAGGAACTGCTATTTAATAATTAATTTATTAATGTTAAAATTTCTTGAAAATAGAGATCCTCCTAGATTTAAAAGAGGTTAGGATTTTATGCGTTTTGAAAGCAATAGTCATCTACCTAATAATAAATAATTTAATAGTCCTCTTCATTAAGATGTACTTATTCATCATGATAAACCTCAATATTATGTAACGAAAAAATTGCCTCCTGTTTCTATTTATAATCCCTTAGTCTAATTAACAGACTAAGTATATAGACCAGAATATATTATCAAATAAAAAGAAATTTATCATCCTCGTTATATGGAAGAATATTAAAGAAAAGGATTCAAAAAAAAGTAAGGAATTTTTGAATCATTCTAACATCTTCTTAATAAGAACTAAATTCTTATTGAAGGAGTCCATTCTGATAAGAAACCATTATCGTTTCCAGCAATAAGAGAATAATATAAAAAGATATATAAATCATTGAATTTAGAAAAATAACTTTCTTCCAGGAGTTAAGATAGCTCAAAATTAGATAAAAGCAATTAAGATACTAACAGATCCTATATAAATAGTTTTAATAAGAATTATAATTATAATGTATCAGAATAAAGTAAATTAAGGACTGAGAATAAAAGCATTCAAGTAAGTTTAGAAAAAATGAATGTTTAAAAGAAAACAGAATAATCTAAAGAATTTCAACCAAAAATATTACATTCATATTTGATAAGATAAGAAGAAGAGGCAGAGAAAGAAAAATAGATGCGTTAATTAAGTATTTTTGATAAAAAGATCAAAGAACTTAGAATTCATTAAGACAAACATGGTAAGAGAAAAATGACAATAGAAAAGTAATCTGATTGATTAAATGTCATTAATATACTCTCTTTTGAAATAAATTTAATTAATATATATATTTCTTAATTAATATCAAATGAATACAATATAGCCACAACTACCTCAAATTCAATAACCCTAACAACAACAAATACCTTAATACCCAAATTATCCACCTCCAGAAAATTAAGTTAGATATGATCCACGAACTGCAGCAACATTTTTAAATCCTAAATCAATTTAGAAGAAAGCTAAATTTTGTCCAATTTGTGATTTTCCAGCAAGTGTAAGAGTTGTTATAAATCCTTGCAGACATTTCATGTGTTATGAATGCTATTATATTGATGGTTAAACATTTTGCAAATTCTGCAATGATATTGTATGCTCAGTCAAAAGATTAGATGATACAGAGAAATTTTATTCTTGTGATCTTGATACTTGTTTTAAGTAGAATTTATTCATTAATATTAGATATTTTGAATCTGAATAATAATTTGAAGAACATAACACATAACATGCTATAATATTAGGTTGATTTTATATGTGATATTAAAATATATAATTTTAAATATTATAAATAAATTAATAATATTTCATATTAATTAAATCAATGTAGAAAATAATAATAATAATAATAATAATTATTATATTTATAATATATCATTTAAATTCCAAAATAATCTTACCTTATCCACGGGTCTAACTTTATATTTTAAATAATTCTTCACCTGAAATATCTTATGGTTTAACTATTTGATAAATATCAGATTTAAAAACATTGTCAAGTTTAGAATTGATATATTTAAAGGCAACCTCTTTTTATTATCTAGTTAATAAATTATAGTAATTGTGCATCCAAAAACCTTCAATAGATTTTCCATTAAATATCAATTAATTAGGATTGATCTTTCCTATATATGTAGCAGTTGATGATCCATAATTTACAAGAACACTATTTCCTGGTAATTATGTTAATATAGTTCCAGCCTTATCTCCAGAAGTTGAATCAAAAAAGATTGTTTTTTCTTTGATGTTCTTTTGAATATTTTATAAGAGATTCTCATCATCCACCAATGTATTAACATAATCTTTATTCTCCTTAGCAACTGCCCAAACATCTTTTCCTAATTCTTTAAAAAGCTTGATTCCTTAAATTGCAGTGGATGATCGAGCAGATGAAAATAAGATACTCTTAAATTATTTGGCTCTTTCTTAGAATCCAAGAACAGTAAAAGGATTGATTATAGCCATACTACCTTATATCTCATTTTCCACTTCATATATATCATTTTCATTAGCTGCAACATATTCTGCCCAACTTCCAACTTATCTAGCAGGTAGAAATGCTACTAATTTCCCCTTATGTTTTCCTTCAACTACTTCACCAACTCCTTCCATTCCTAATTAAGTGGGAAGAGCCTTTTTGATTCCATAGATGCCTAAAGAGTAGTAGATGTCTGCTGGGTTTACAGGAGCATATCTCACTTTAATCATAACTTAGTGTGACAATAGAGAAGGTTTAAGAACTTATTACCAAAGTGGCTTAGTACCATATTTTGAGATGACGAATGCTTTCATTTAATTAATTAAATATTTTTTTAATTATTACGGATTATGAAATCAATAATTATTATAAAAATTATATAATAATATCTACTGCTTAAATAAAATAGGGTAATTAATATTGACTATGTAAATTCAATAAAGTAAAATTAATTAACATCACAATATAATCATAAATTATAAATTGACTTCTATATAGTTTATGAATAATTTTTTATCTCTGACTTTATAAATTTTATTAACGTTCTATTATATGTAATATATGGTCTAACTCTACTCTAAATTTAACGATTACTAAGTTAAGGTGCATATTTTGACTCATAATAATTAGTTTAACATCTATCTAATTTGTTTATATGTAAACTTGGGAAAAGTGTTGAGTTTCTATGATTACCTGTTATTGAAGAAGATTAAGGAGTTGTTACTTAATAATTAATTGTATATGCTTTTTTTCTTTGTACAAATTCTTTAACTTCTGCTGGTTTTCCAGATAAAAAGCTTATCATTTTCTAATCTAATTATTTGAATTGTTTTTCTTTTGTTAATTCCAATTTAGATTTAAGTTATTATTTAATGATAATTTGTTTTGGAGGAGTCTTACAAGATGGTGGTCTTTCCAAATGATCATATTCTATGATGATAATAAAGATTATTTATACCAACTAAAGATTCTTATTTTGATAATTATCTTAAAATACTTTACTTTTTAGTTGTTCTTTTTCTCTTTTTTCTCTCTAAAATATCAGCAAAACTTGTTAATGCAAATCTTTATCCATCAATTTATTTATGTTATTCAATAGATGTTGGAAGATTTTGAAATTATTTTGCTGTCATTTCACCAAATTATTCACCATATGCAGATTTTCTTCTACTTAATTGTTCTTATCTCATTAAAGTTATTTTTTCTATAGCCTTTTTTAAAGGTTTTAAATTTATAAATTTCTTAGTTTATAATTACTTCTCTGTAGCTATAGGTGTAGGTTCATCTATTTCATGTTCTTTCAGCAGTCTCATGGAATGCAATAGTGAATTCTTTTTAATTGTTTTTCTGAAATTATTTCCTATTATTGTTTTTGATTTTGTTTCGAAGTTACTTTAATTTAAAACTAGATGGCTTATTCTTCTTTCAGTAAATGGGAATGAAGAATAGTCACTTTGTTCTAATTACAGATATATAATTACATAAGTAGTTTATCATAAATTATAAAAATTAACAAATAAAGTTTATTGATTATTAATATACATATATATTTTAGTAAGATTGTCCTTTATTTATAAATTGTATAATATCAATATATTAATTTTCATTTTTTCTAAAACTAATACTAAATTACAATAATATTCTCAAAATCTTATTGAAACGTTACAGATATCTATTCTTAATTAAATTTAATATATTATTGCAATAATTCTGATAAAATTAAATGTCATTTTGAAATAGTATTATTAGATTAAAGTCATTTATACTTATAGATATTATTAAAATAATTTATAAAATCTGTCCTCTTTTAATTATTATTTAAATATTATATATAAATATATAATAAAAATATTTTTAATATGAGTTATCCTAATATTTAAGAATTTTTAGAAGACTTTGAAAAATAGAATGATTTATTAGGAAAAGGGACATATGGTGAAGTTTATAAAATGAAAACGAAAAGATGCATTAATCCTGAATTAGAAAAAGTATAAGAAGGATAAGATGGTTATAATGGATAGTATTATGCAGTAAAAATGATGAATGCTAAAACAGAAAAGTCATTTACAACTATATAGAAAGAATTTCTTATATTAAAAAGTCTGCCAAATTAACATCCAAATATCATTAAACTTTACAAAGTAATATTTAAATAAAATGTATAGAGTTATGCATGGGCTAATCAAATAACAAAAAATTACACATTAGTATTAGTTATGGAACTAGCTGATAAAAGTTTAATGAAAGAGATTGAAGAGAGAAGATAAGCTAATAAATATTTTTCGGATGATTAATTGCAATAAATATTTTTATAATGTATATAAACATTAAATGATATTAAATTGCATTCAAATATTTATCATAGGTATTTAATTGATATTTAATTAGAGATATAAAACCAGAAAATATTCTTCTAAATAAAGAATAGTAAATAATTATTACTGATTTTGGGGTTTCTCGAAAATTAATGAAAGAGAAATTACCTACAATAAATGGAACATTAGTTGGTACACCTGCTTATTTGTCTCCAATATTATGGAAAGCTTTTGAAGAAGGTCAATTCTAAATTTCAAAAATTAATAAAATAACTCACAATGTTGAAAAATCTGATGTTTATTCATTGGGTGTAACATTGTTATAGACAACTCTATTGTTGAATTCAGAGATTTAAAAATTAAATTCTGTAAATTTACATAATTGATTCAGGGTG